GATAGTCTTAATCACAGTCTACAACAGTGGTCAGTCAGCTAGTACCCAAAAGACAGACAATGTGGACTGAAGAAAAGAGTGCTGAAGTCAAGAGAACTGAGTTTTATAACCAGCTCTGTGATTTAGTGTATGATTTGGTGCAACTTACTTAACCTCTTTGGGACTTTGTCTTATGTTTGTTTGTTTTGTTTTCATATGGAAAAGAAGAGGTAGTCAAAAAACTTTAATTACAGCTACAAGGCCATCAGAAAACACAGGGATCTATCCCCAACTTCACCGATGAGGAAAGTAAATCAGAGAAACATGCCCGGTCATTTAAAAGGACAAGTCAATTATGTCAAATTTTTAGACCATGTACAAAAAGTATATACAAGACAAAAATAATTATAATCATCAATTTGGGATAATGATTATCTCTTCAGGAAGAGCTTCAATTGTACTGATAACTTTTTATTTCTCAAATTGAGTTTGGAGTATATAGAGTGCATAGATAGATATTAGATATAGATATAGATATATAGATATATAGATATATCTATATAGATATAGATATATACCATTTTTTGTCTTAAATACTTTCTAATCATTTTTTAAGTACCCACCAAGACATCTTTAACCAAAACACTTTACTGAAATTTTAAAGGTCAATAGAAATAGTCTGTTGTTTCAAACATTCTCCTGCTGAGCTTGAAAGGTATCACTATGTTCCCTTAATATAAGAAAAAATAAAACATTGAAATAAGCTGTAAATATATCTCTCTCCAATCTTCCAGCTTAGTAAAATATAAAAAGTACACAAATGTCACAAAACACAAAATGAATTGTATTATTAGTAGCTTGATTAACCCATGTAAGATTATTGAGAGAGATACCTAATAATTTGTACTCTAAACATATCCCTAAGAGAAATATATTCAAGAGTCACATCTGAGAGCCCAGCGTTCAATCATCAGGGTTGTTTGTTTGTTTGTTTTTACTGAGATAAAAAGGAACTGCAATGATTTACCTAAAGCAAGCAAAGTTCTTTCTGAACTTCTACATGGAAACTACCTGTAAAAACTAAGTGCCTCTGAAATCTCTGAAATTTTCCAACAGGAAAGTATAGGTCATTCAGCAAAATATATTTACTGTATAATACCATAATAGCTATTTAATTGTTATCATTATGATGCAGATATATAATGGAAACAGATGTTCCTTTTTCCTTTCAGCAAAGCACAGGAAAAGCATAAACTTGCTGATATTGCATGGACTACTACCATAGCACAATAGAGGGAAAAAAGACATTAGCACATGACAATATTAGTTTTTACTACACAACTAATTGCATAAAAAGTATAACTTGAGATCATTAAATCAATATAATTTTCAGTACTACAGAAAATTATAGATTTGTATAACCAGCCTATTTCACATCTGCAGTTGGGAAAATACTTCTGAGAGACTAAGTGTATGCAAAATGCTACCACTGCTTTCAGAACACAAGGAAAAGACTGTTGTTCTATTTTATTTGCTCATGTAACATGAATTAGAATGCTGCCTCTACAGAGAAAATTTTTAACAGTACCAGTATAAACTGGAAGAACCTTTCTGAAAAACAATTTGGCAATCAATATTGAGAACCTTAAAAAACAGTCTATACTCTCAGTCCAAGTAATTTCTATCCTAATAATATATCATAGTGAAATAACTAGAGTAATGATTAAAGATTTATTTAAAATGCTACTCATTATAACTTTATTTACAATGGGAAATTAAAAAACTAACTCTCCAATAGTAGAATGATGATTAATTATATTATATATGTTAAAACATTATATAGTCAATATAAATAACTTTAATAGTAATTTTAATTACATAGGAAATTTTTCATTGTATAATGCCAACTGAAAAAAAGCAGGATATGAAGTGGTATCTACATATTTTTATAAATGTAATATACACAGAGGGTGCCAAAAAATGTATACACATTTTAAGAAAGGAAAAAAGTGTATTAAAAGTGTAATACTCAAAAGATGAATACAAGTCACCTCAGACTTCTGCAATTACAAGAGGTGCTCTAAGTGGTTACTATACAGAAACTACTGCTTGAGCAACGCTGATAAAAGTGTTAACATCTCTTAAAATGTGTATAGATATATCCCTGGTATGTAAATATATAAATGCTTGGAGGAAAAGGGCTTAGGGAAAATACTCAAAATGTCATTTTTAACTTTTGAAAATTCTCTATTATAAGCAGATACTACTTTTTAATCAGAAGTTATTTTTTCTTCAAACAAGTATACAATTCTATTTCTATGCTCCAGTACTCTCAGTCCTTGTCCAAGGTTTCTAAAAAATTTGGGGGTTAAATACTCCTATACATATTTTAGGTAAACTGACCTAAAGTTACATTGACATGTTATTCAATCTTAAAATCTGGCATAAAAAGAAAAGTATTTGTCAATTACATAGACAACACATTTGTTTTCCTGAGTTAAACAGGATCTTACAAATTAAAGAAAATTTTATTGGGAAAAACATTATAGATGCTTACTTTAGAGCCATTAATATAATGTGTTTTAAGTCATCACATTTAAGTAATTTTTCAATTAAAAATATTTCTAAAGCAAATAAAGTAGCTTATTAATTGCTCTCCCAGTGTGCCAATAAAAAGTTTGACATAGCTTTCATAAGACTCCTAGTTTCATGATTGTATTTTTACAAGAAGGAGCTGATTTGTCTTAGGCTATTACTGTCTATTACCTCTAGAAGTCTTAAGGAAAGGTGGGAAGCAGCAAATTCTGGCAATCTGCCTAAAGAGAAATCAATGAAACAAATTAATCCTTCGCAGGCTGCAATGACACAGTAATCCATCATTCAGAGCTGCTTTTATATAGCAAATCAGAGAGCAGAGGAAAGGGCCCTGGGGGACATCACAGACAACAACTTACACCAACACTGGGAAAATACTGAGGAATCAGTTTATTTAAAGAGGATAGATTTCAGTTGATTGCCTATTTCGTCAAATAAAGATTTTTTCTTTCACAGCGTGGTGAACCGAAGGCCCAATGACTATATCTTCAGAATTCAGCACCATATATACTGGCTGACATCAATAGGGGATGAATGTTTTTAAATAATTAGCATCATTAATCAGCATGAACAAATATCTGGCTAAAGTAATATCATTTTTTCCATTAAACTTCCAGATGCTAAATACATTCCCTGTTTTCAGTAGGGACTAACTATAAATTTACCTACTAATCTACAACTTAACTGACCAATTCCTGATAAACCGTATTTGAGGTATTATTTCACACACAAAATGTAACCATTTAAGATGTGTATGACTTCCTAAGGACTGTGTTAAGTTTAAAGACTTGAAGTTTTTAATTTCATCTCTTGGAATAAATTTCAACAAGCAAATCGGATTATGAATAAGTAAGTTCTTTTAAAATGATAAACAGTTTTTTGGCTTATAATATAGTTGACAGTGCTAAAAATAAATTTAAATGTGGTTTCTTTTTTAAAAATAAATTTATAATCAATATACAGCAATACATTCACACTGAGTATATTTATTTATACATATACAAAAACATATGCATCTAAATTTATTCGTGCTTACGTAGAATTTATGCACCTGAGGATGTCTTACTAGAGTAATGTATTCTGAGGGGAAGTATATTCCCTAGATGAAAACTAATGACAAGAACTATAAAGTCACAGTGTATTACCACTGTTAAATGCATGCATCATTTTCATGGTTTAATGTGAAGAGTTAGTGAAAGAAAAGGGTTTTCAGGAAATAAACAAAATCTGTCACAATGGTCCTTGAAATGTAAAACCGCAAATATCTAATCACAGGCCCAAAACAGAAAAAAAAGAATGTTAAATAAATGCTAACTAGTCAGTTTTTGAGTGGCATCTTCGATTCTGAGGTCCATGGCCACATGAGTGCAATTCCTGGCCACGCTGATGCATTTTTAATTCAATGCATGAATCTAGTATTTGATTTAATAAGGTTAGGGGTATTACATTGTTGCTGCTACTGATGAACTGTCAGCAATTTAATCTAGTGAAATCTTACAGAGGAATATATATATTTAGGGAAGAGTAAGAAAGACAATAGCTATAATGCATTCACATCCCTTCACTACCCATGACAGTGGCAAAAGCCAAAGCCCCCTTTTTCCCAGACTGCTTTGGGCACCAAAACATTTTCTTTTACTAAAGATGTTGGTCACCAACTCATTGAGGTGACAGTGAAGAGACTGCAGCAAAGTCTTACAGGTAGGTACACCTTCAAAACACTGTCCACGGCATCATGCATATGCAGACAGGCAGAAAAGAAGGGAGAAAATGCACTTTCTCAAAAGCAATTCTGACAAAATACAACGAAAGGAGAGAAGCTTTAAAGGCTGTGTCAAAGTAAGGAGGTATTCTAGGATCCAGAATCAGAAAAGGGGAGGAAAAATTCACCTGAATTTGCTGAAACAAACACTTGGGGACTATTAGAAAGCTTTCTGCGCTGCTGTGCTACCCTGCCTGTGGGCTTACTTCCCCAACCTGGACACCTGGGAAGCATGTTGTGCTCCAGCTTTTCCCTGACTTTGAAGAAATGGATAATCTAAGAAGCAGTGCTGCTGCTGGGGTCAGTAAAACTATGCTAATTGGTGAACCTAATTGTTTCAAGCAGTCCTGACTCTAAATAGGGAGAGCACAGTTGATGGAGTCAGTCTGTTCCTAATAAAATGAAGAAGCACTGAATTAAATTCCCAAGGAAGGCACTATAAAAGTTTCCACAGTGTAACCAAATGACTTCACCTATGCTATTACCCCAAAGATGACATCTTTGAAAGAAAGCAGACCCCAGTCAGGCTCCATATTCATAAATTGGCTGAGCTTAGGCCAGTGAATCTGGATTGATTTAAAAAGGCTTTTTCATCCCTCCAATCAAATGAAGTCATTGTTAATTAGATGCTTTCTGTTAACAATGTCACTCTTCTCCGCATTACCTGCTCACACTTGCAGCGCCTCTAACATCTGGAGCACCAGTCCTGCAATCAGGCCTCACAAGTTTGGCTGCAGGGGGGTGGTATTTCCGGTTCTCAATCCCTGTCCGAAGGAAGACGATTCAGGGTACGAGAGGCATACAACTCTCTCATTTGAGAGATTATGAAACAGTCTCTAGGAAAACTCTCGAGATATGTTCTCCCAAAATATTTTTTTGCGAACTACCCTGCAGTTTCTCTGGGCTGTTCCCGCTTGGTAGCTGGGTGTTCTTGGAAACGCCGAAGAGCCACCGAGTCAACCCCCACTGACTTCGCAGCGCCTGAAAACCAAGCTCCTCCTTAACGGGTCTGAGGGTTCCCAGCGGGACCCCTCTCGGCCCGACACCTGAAGGGGCCTCGCTGCCCAAGGCAGGGCAGGCCGGGAGGCAGCCCCGGGGGAGGGCACAGCTCGGGGCACTCCACCCAGAGAGGGGAGAGGCGCGCTGGGGGAGACGCGCCCAAGCTTCCCCTTCGACGGCGGGTCTCTGCACCTTACACGGCGGGGCGGAGGCCGGCCCACGCTCCCTCCGGGCCCATTCCAAAGACGTCCGCAGCGCCAACTTGGGGCGCGGGCCCGGGGTTCGGGGAGCGTGCGCCACCCCCCGGTCGGGCGTGGCTTCCTTCTTGAATCTTCCCCGGCGCAGGCCCGGACTTGGGCACCCCGGTCGCTCGCGGGGTGGGGGGCCCTCAGCGCCGGCGGGAGTCCGGCTCCTGTTGTCCGACCGGGTCCCGGCGCTACGACCCGGCGGCCCCGGCCCCTCACGGCGCGGGGTTGCCATACTTGTGTGGAGCGCCCGCCGCCAACCCCGTGCGCGAGGCTTCGTGCCCGGATGTGGGCCTCGCTTCCGGGAGCTGCTCCCGCCGGGGCCGCGCTCGGGGCCGGTGTGCCCAGGCCTCGAGGGAAGGAGCCCCGGGGCCCCTACAAGGAAGCCTGACTCCCACAGAGTGCAGGATTCTTTGGCAAGAAAGCGCCCTTGTGAGGTGAGGGATGTGAGGAGGCACACGGGAGCCGGGGCCCCGTACTGTGCGGGGGACGGTGCCTGCTGGCTGCCCTCGCAGCCCGCAGCGCCGAGGACCACGCTGATCCCGGGACTTAGGCGGACAAGTGGCTGCCACGGGCGCCTCAGGGCCCCGGCGGTCGGAAGGCGGCAGGCCTTCAGGAAAGCCTCGGGGACCAGGTCGCGGACTTCATCCCCGTCTGGGGGCACCTGAGCGGGAGTCGCCCACTGGGGTATGAACCTGGACCTGGGACCCTGCCCCTGACGCTGAGGCGTCCGAGGACGAGGTCACGGCTTTGGAGTCCTCCCCAGCTGGGGCTGCGGAGGGGTCAGAGGGCTTCACGGTGAAGCGACCGTGAGTCCTGATGCCTAGACCTCGCCGAGGGCAGAACCACGCTAGATGACGTTAGACGGTGAGGGTGGGATGACAGAACCACTCGGAGACGGGCCGACTCTGCGAGCTGAGACTCTTACTTGCATTTCTGCAAGTCCTTGACCCCAAAGCTTCGCCCTGTGACAACGTATGCCTTCTCCGCAAGAGGATTGGGGGCAATTAAGTTTCTTGGGATTCTCATCCCTGGCTCAGGGAGGAAGGCAGAGAAAAGCAGCAGCCGAAACACCTGCGATCTCTCAATACAATAAAATGTGGACGGTGGTTGGAGTCATTTCTCCTTCCGTTTCCAGAGGGAGTTCAAACCTGAAGCATCAAGGTTATCCCTCTCCAACGTGTAAAACAGGATAGTCGCAAAACTGGTCAGGGACACCGCCACACATGCCTGAAGGAGGTTCCCCTTTGCAAACAGAAACGGTTATCTGATTTTCCCCCCGTTTCAGTGCTTGTGTGACCCTAAGTTTGAGGGTTTGTGCACTCCTTTGACCCACTGGAGACTAAACTAGAACTGGGCAAAGGGAAATCAGGAGAGAGAAAAGGAAGGTGCTGGGAAGTGCACCGAAGTCTGAGTGGGTGGTGCGCAGGGCTGCTCTGACCCGAGGCGGGACCCCGCTCCAGTGCGGGTAAACCCCAGGACGCACTGCCCCAGGGCTCTGGGGTGACCCAGCAAAAATATGGACACGTGCCCAGGGCTGCTGGGCTGTGGCTCTGCGTTTCAGGGCCACACACACACACACCCCGGTGCATGTCTCTCTCCCAGCGCTGGCGTTCCTCTGAGGTTGTCTAGTCAGCAGAACCCTGCGAGTTGCCGCCGAGCACGGCCACTTGACCGCTCACGCTGAATGAGGGGTAGCTCCAGCCCGGGAGGGAGAGCAGACGGAGGCGCCTGTCGTATGGGGACCCAGCCCAGCGCCAAGGGAAGGGCTGATAGAGTGACAGTGCTCCGAGAAGGGCGGCGTTCTCCCTGGCTCGGGGCTCCTCCCCGCCATTCAGTCTGGTCACCTGTCGTCCCGAGCTCGCCCGGGTCCTCGTACCGCCCCGCTCTACGCGACCAGGCGACAACCCCCTGCCAGACCGAGCTGCGCGCCCTGGTGGCTCCCGGATGACCCGGCCCTGAGAGGCAGGGCTGACCCCTCACTGAAGCCTCTAGATAACAAACAGCAAAGCGCAGCTTTTCCTGCCTCCAGAACCTCCTCTTATCCTCCCACCGAGCAATGACTCGCCAGTGTACTGGGTGGTTGGTGTTCTTTTAAAATGTATATCAAAGGATCATTGGCGTCTCCCCGTCAAGTCATTACGCCTTTATCCCCATCAATTAACCACACCTCAGAGGGCTGCTATTAAGAGCTAAATTGAGCTGCAAAAGTAGATATCCCGTTTCAGGCAGATGTTGTCATCTCCCGCTGAGCTAGGCAGCCGGCGGGACCGGCCGGCAGCTTCCGAAGCTGCCGGAGCCGCGCTGGACCAGGCTAAGGACTCGGGCCCGCGGAGCTGAAAGAGAGGTCCCTGCCAGACACTACGCTAGTGCTCCAGGAACCGGGAGGAGCAGGGAGGCCCCTAGCTCTCTCGGACCTCAAGCGCTGTGCATGTCAAGGGGAAGTGTCTCCAGAGTTGTGACTGGGAAAATGCCAAGAGAGAGCCGTGCGTTTTTGCGCAGGAAAGTAGAATGGAGAGTGTTCGCAGAGTCCCAGCTTTCCGCCAGTGCCCCAGAAGGCGCCTGGGGATGTGTGGGGGAGAGGCACAGTAGTGAGTTTGTCTGGCAACCCTCCACCTACAGACCACACTTCCTGTTCCCGCCACTCCAGCCTCCTTCTTCCCTGGTACCTGGTCCCCAGAACCCGAGAACCCCTTGTGGAGGAAGGCGCGGTGCTATGGGGATGCTGGATATAGAGTAGGGAATCCGGGACAGAAACGTGGGGTTTAAGACAAAGGGGGTTCACTAGGGACTGCCGCGGCCTTCCGTCCAGATGTGTCTTTCCACTCTCCAACTCCCAGTCGCTCTCAAGGACTTGAGGCACGGCTGTTGCACACAGCTGGAAGACCCCAGAGGGCTCAGGGAAGGAGGCAGCAAGGGGATGCGGCCCTCACTGCAGTGACAGGGCTTTCCTCCTGACAGTGGCCACAAATTTAGCCAAGGCTAAAGGAGATTAATTTCCCAGCATAATCCAATTAAAAGATTTCCGAAGTAATCTTTTGCGAAAATGAAAAAAAGTGCACGGCTAAAGAGGGGACTGGTTTTGATGGCAGTGATTTATCGCCTGGGCACAGCATGCGCTGGTCGCTCTCTCTCCTGCACAAGCGATTTGACCAGAGCATCCCGATGGTGCCTCCAGTCCAAACCTTCGCCTGTCTGAAAGACAGCCATCCATCACACCAACCTGGGCAGGAGAGAATGTGCAGGGGACTGGGGTTGCTTACAAGCACCATAGACTTTTTTAAGTGCTATTAGATTTATGGTCTTTTTTCTACGCCCATCCAGAGTAATTAGCACATATGTTCTAAATAGATGATAGTTTTGTGAGCAATAAAGCAATTACCCATCGTTGGAGCTGACAGTTCCTCCAACTAAACTCCAACCAGCAGCTAATTGGAAAAGTAATTTCAGCTCCATTGTCTGCAATTAGTCCTGCTAAACTACTACACCCCAACTAGCTGGTTTGAGGTTAATTTATTCAGTGTTGTATTTGCACAGACGGGCCATTGCCACAAAGGGACTTGCCTTTTGCCCCTCGGAACTGTGCCCTGGGACTAGAGGAGCAGGTGGAAGTGAGAAGTCGACATCTTGGGGCCAGGATGGTTGGGGGAGGGGGCGGTGATGGAGCGCCTTGGCCCAGCCTCAGCTTCAAGGTCAGTGTCCAGCGCGCTGAATGCCGCTGACAGAAAAAGCCATTGTTTCTCCTGCTGGGCAGTAACTAAAGGAAACTGTTCCATTCACTGTACCAAAACCTTAGTTTAAAAAAAAAAAAGTCAGCATAGAAAGGGTGACTGGGTTCTAAGCACACCTTCCCTCCCACAGGCCCAGTCCTGACTCTGGGGCACCCAACAGTCCCTAAGGGATAGATATAGATTCAAGCCGGCTAAAACCGCAAACTTCTGAGCCTTCAGCGGGGAGAGGTCACCTCCAATTCTTAGAATGGTTCAGGAACAGAAAAGACTAGAAAGGTCAGGAAGCTCTGCTTCTGTCTTCAGCCTCTCTGAGCACAAGGTCACTCCCCCTCACCCCCCCAAAACTAAGGGTTCTCCATTACTTTTTTTCTTTGCTTCTTTTTCTTCTTTCCTTGCTTCTTTATCTTTTTTTTTTCTTCTTTCCTTTCTAAAGGAAAGCCCAACAGGTCCAAGATTTGTGCACAGTGAGTGGAAAAAATGTGTTAAACGTTGGTTTGATGCCCCATCGGAGCTTGCAAATATCCATCGTCTAGGATTCTTCTACTTAATTTAATCTTTATTGGGCAGGATGACTCCTACGCTCCTATTTACCAGGAAACCCCGGGAAACGGATCCATTGGGGTTCAGAATGGAAGGCGGGAAGGAGAGGAGTTAAAGAGGGATTAATCCTCCGCTACCCAGCCTCGAACTTTGGAACTGTGATCTCTGGTAAGCTGGAGGTAGGAGGGGAGGGGGCTCAAGGTCCCATGCCTGTCAGCCCAGGGTCTCTGCGATCTGGAGCAGAGGGCGGGAAGACTGGCAGGCTGAGATGGGAACTTTGTAGCCCTGGTAACCAAGTATTCCCTTAAAGGAATTTACAGCTAAGTGTCCCAGGCTCTGGGAGCAATGCGAATTTTACTTAGAAGAACATGGGGCTGGGGGTTGGTTGGGGTAGGGATTGGGGTGGGGGGGTCTTCTTAGGAAGTAAAACCCAGTGCTTTCAGTCCTAGAAATCAAATGTGCTTTTCTGGGAAGCTATTCATACTTAAGCTGAGGGCCGTTTCTCCTTTTTTAAGTAAATATAACAATCCCTAAGGAAGACAATTTGGATGGTATTTCAGTCAGCATATGAGACTTAGTAAAATAATTCTAATTTCAAAACAATTTGCAATCAATTGCTCAGTTTCAAAGATTTGGAGATATGAGTCTAGCAAGAAAAACTTTTTAAATTGATTAATGTCAGACTCTTTTTTTCCACTTACTGTGTTTGAACCAATTTAATTCCAAGCAAAACCAAAAAGAAAATATATTTGGGAGAAAT